CGGGTGGAACGCTCCTTGGAGAGGCCGGGCTGCGGGCAGCCCGTCGCCCGCGTCCCCGCGTCCGAGCTCTTTGTAACGTGGCCACGGCCTGGGTACCCGGTCCGCTTTCCTTCCATTCTCCCAAGAACCCTTCCTTGGGCTGATGAAGCCACGTTCCCCTGCCCCCGAGTTTCCTCGGAATGAAATCTCAGTGGAAGGCTTTCCTGCTTCCCGGGGTGCCATTCTCTCGCCAGTTTGCAGCTTTAGCCTTTGGTTTCTGTAGTTTGTTTTCTTCTCACGTTCTTTTCCGAAGCTCCGCCTCAACAGCATTAAGAAGCTATCGACCATCGCCCTGGCGCTCGGAGTGGAAAGGACGCGAACTGAGCTGCTGCCTTTCCTCACAGGTCTGTGCACTTTTGCTTAAAGAAAGGCCTGGGCACCACCATTTTCCGGTTGCTTTCAAAACTGGGTGTGTTAGGATGGGTTAGGCATGGCATTGGGCACTAAATTGAGCCTGACACTTTTGTGCAAAAGAAACAGGGTGGAGCGTATTGTGCCGTGGCTGCGCATGTTCGGGCATTAACTACTATTTACCTAACAGGAGAGCAATGGGTAGGGGATTGTGAGATTCCAATTCATTCTGTAGAACAGATCCAGGAAGACTCTCCATGGAGAAGGAGGAAACCACCGTTAGGCCAGTGACAGGACCATCCAGTGACATACTGAGTCTGTTCTGAGTTTTGTGTGTGGGTCCAGCTTGGGGCTGGCTGCCCTTGCTGATGCCTACCGGGTTGTTGTCATTTCCAGACACAATTTATGATGAAGATGAGGTGCTGTTAGCTCTTGCTGAGCAGCTGGGAAATTTCACCGGCCTGGTGGGAGGACCTGACTTTGCCCACTGCTTGCTGGTGAGTATCTTCCGCCTACCCTCCTTCTAGAACTTTTGCATACAAATGGTTCATTGTTTGGTGACAGGCACTTGGCAGCATTTTTAATGCAGATCTTATGGTTAGTCCCAGTGTTAGCTGTGGAGAGAACAAATATTGTAGGCACTTCTGATTCAGTGAACTCAACCCATTCTTAATTTTTCTGACTATGCATATAAGAACTTCTTCCTCTTTTCTTGTCTGCCTCTGTTGACTTGTTAGTTTAGAATTTGGGAGAAGGATTGTTTGTATCTGTTTATGCTCCTCACACCCCATCCCTGAAGTTAGAAATCTTAATTCTCATCTAGTAATATGATGACTTTGGAAACATTTATCTACACTAATAAAAGGGTAATATGCTAATTAGACCTGGAGACCTTCCGGATGTCCTTCCGGACAAAGCCATGGTGGTGGGGCAGAGGCAGAGGCGGTTAGGGGTGATCAGGCCAGTTGCGGGGGGGCAGTTGGGGATGAGCTGACTGGCAGGGGGTCCAGTTGGGGGCAAGTAGGCCGGCAGGGGGGACAGTTGG